TATTAAGCCGTTTGGTTTGCACGAGCGGCTGTTTGACCAGAGATCATCGCTCGCTTCGGCCAAGCACGATATACGCACACAATACGTATAATGTATGTAGGTGGTTAATACAATGATCACTTCTATCCTGGAAACCATTGCTAAAAATTATCTTCTATCAATATTTCAATGCATTTATACATGAATTATGTGTTGGAAATCGCGTGATTCGTAAATTAAATAAAAAAGTTACAAAAACGAAATACACGCTTTCCTCCGCTTCGAAATTTTAAAACACCCATGTATCAAGCAACAGGTGGACGCACCTCTTTTCGGGTCCACATGATATCATAAAAATGGAATCGTAATGACGCTGACTTCGCAGCTCTGATTTGCCGGCGACGTGAGCATTGCAATTGTCAAATTCATACCCTGAAAACTATCATCATCCAAACAGTTAGTCATCATCGGTATTTACTCGCATGGTTGAGAAAATTCGAACAAACTGTAGGGATATCAGGTATATACACGTATAAGGCTAACTAGGCGTGGAAAGAGGGTCCCAATCAATCAAATTTGGTGCAACCGAGTGGATCCGCCGATGGCGAAATTTAATTAAACTTTCATTCCTCCTATCCTCGTCCTCTGGGGTGTCCAACTTCCGATTTAAATAGACTTTGTCAGCCTCGCCCTCGTCGATGCTGTCACACTAACGCCCAGTTTATCGCGAGCCGTCCGTAAAAGTGTACCCACATAGGAGTCGTTTCATTCGAATAATTTCCCATACCTGAATAATTGTTGGAAATTTGCATTACTTTAATTTGTGTTTGATTCACACTTTTTAATTCGGTCTAATGATGAAAGTTTCGAAATACTTGACTCTCTCATTTCAAAATCGTGGATTTCCGGGCTAATGTGACCATATCTGGTAGAGTCGCATTAAAATTCACGAGTGGCGGGCAGCCGCACGTATGATATACGGCCGAGAGCCGATATGCCCTGCGACAATCACTTGCCTGTCGAATTTATCTCGCGCCGCGTTGCGTGACACCCCCTACTGCACACACACACACACACACACACACACACGTGCTCGGCTGGTCTACTCCACTCGCGTCGCTTCGGGTGTAACTCTGCAGCGACAGCCGTACCATCAGCCACCGGCAGTGCGTCGAGCTATGCGGCGTGTCTCTTTCACATGACACCCTTACCCCCCCCCCTCTTTACCCCTTATCGACATAATTCGATACGCACATGCTGTCCCCGATGACCTGAATCTCGTAGGAGACAAAAGTTACACTCTTCTTCGATACTGTATTTTTTTCCTGTTGATTAATTAAAGAAATATTATAATCTAGAACTATTTTCGATGTTATGAATATTAGATACGAATCATGATATGTGATGATGAAACAATAAAAAATTTTTAAGTGATTTACTGGAATACTTATTTAGAGGAAAAGTCAAGTTTTTCATGAAATTTTTGTTACGATGTTTCACGTTTTACAACGAGACAATGCAAAAATAATTTAAAAATAACATTTGGTTACCGACTCAGTTGTAAAATACACACGTGTTCACAGAACTATGTTTCAAGTGCAATATTTCCAATTACTTTAATCTGATAAATTAATTAACAATATTTTGTTTTAAAATGATAAAAAATGACCATTCACTCGAAGGTTCGATACAACAAAAAGCTTTTTTCTGTGTTGCGCTCTAACGAACATTTATAGTAGCATCAGACAACTTTCCTTCGAGAGGACGCGTGAAACTTAGAAGCAATATTTATTCCCAAAGTTCGTACGATCCATCGGTTTACTGTATACTGCAAAAGTTGTGGACAACGTCGGGGTTACAGCAACAGCTGTGGAACAACAAAGGGTGTAACTCACTTAAAATAAGTTAAGGGAAAAATTTACTCGACCGTAAGTAGAAAAAAAAACGATACCTCGCAAATTGTACATACAATCACGCGGTTAATTCTGATTCAATCATCATAATCCAGCTATAGAAAGCAATAGACGGAAAAATCCCTTTTCCGCGTAGCGGCAGCAAAAGCACTTGGCGCGTGTAACACGTACAGATTACGTTGCCTATGAAAGTATACATACATTCGAGCGGAAAATCGAAAATTTAGGGGAAAAAAATTGAGCGCCCGTGTGCACGTGACCAGACAAAGTGAATGAAAAATTGGGGATGAAAATGAAAAAAAAAAAAAAAAAAAAAAAAAAAANAAAAAAAAAAAAAAAAAAAAAAAAAAAAAAAAAAAAAAAAAAAAAAAAAAAAAAACGTAGGACAGAGATAGAGGATACATGGCAAAACTTGACTCGTCGCTATCGGTATCTCTAGCATGAAATTCTCGGCCGAGGGGTCGTTCGCAATATTACACGGTTCAATTAAATTTCGGACATACGCGTCCACCTCTACATATACATATATATCTCTATGCAGTTTTGATCTATAGATAGGCAAAGTTATTCTCGAGTTCCACAGGACGAGGGGAAGGGACGATCAAACTGCTGTGGTTTCCTTTAGTGCACCATAAATACCTATATACCATTGGTGTTGTGATGCCATGGCTGCATGTGGCTCATAACAAGAAAAGGACTTCAGTACTCGAAGATATGTGCTACCATCATCCTTGGACTAACAGTTGTTGTACATTATGTGGCATCTTTACCGCAAATACGCTCAGCTGAATAGGGATGCAATTCACTATTTAGATTTTTTTTTCTCTCTTTCATAAAGCGTCCCATGTGATACGTGAGAATTAATGTGGTACTGTGTATACGCGAGGGGGTTCGCACCTTTATATGGCTTATTTTTTACATCATTTGCTTCAAAACTGGAAGGAGTGAGTGGGCGGAGGGTAAGCAGATAGATCATCGGATGTGCTTGAAAAGTTGCAAATGCCATTCGTTGCTCATATTTAGCCTGTGGCTGCTGCGGAGTCAGTAAAAAAATATGTCAAGAATAAAGATATAGTCTGTCATTTTGGACTTTCCTTGACCCTGTATTTTGCACATCCCGAAGCTCATTAACAAATAAATTTGATTTGATTGTCTTTTTGATTACCATTTCAATTTTTTCCAGTAGTGCTTTTAATTAAATTTACATGAATTTTTCCAAATTAAAACAGAAAAACCTGAGCCAATTCAGGTAAAACAAGACGTAAATTACGAGTTTAAAGAAATACGACAAAGAGATAGTGGAAGGCTAATTTAGTGGCAAAGTGGTTGTATCTATTCAGCTGTGCGTTACACGTTTACACGCGCGTGTATAACGCGAGCAGAGATAATCCAGCTCCGTCTGCTCTTCTCATTCCCTTGGCGTAATGAGACACAACAACTCTTCGTTGGTTGCAGCTACAGTCGAGTAAAGTGGTGGTGTCACGTTGGCAAATTAAATAGGAGAACTACAACAGCTTGCCACCGCAATACCATAATTTGTACTTCTTTAGTCAATCAAAATTACAATTCTTCGTTTATTTATTGGGATAAGGGAATTTGTGAGCAACGTAGTTGGAATCGATAGTTTTAAAGTGCTAAAAGGTCTGGTCCAAGTGAGTTGGGTTTTTGTTGAATACAAGCATCTTGGGTGTACGTGAAAAATATGTTACATCTAGAAACTGTGTAGTTCGAGAAGAGAGAAAAAGGGCTATTATTTCTTATCTCTTTTTTTTATCATCATAGCCCCATAAGAGCTGGTTCGTCGTAGCTTGCGCGCATTTCTGTTATTTTACCACATTATTTGATTTCATTTTGACTTAGTTTGATCTCCGGTAGTTTTGTGGTGGATCAGAGAGGAACATAAGCCGATTAAAATTAACGAAAATACTAATTATGAATAAAAAAAATTGCTAAATAATATCGATCTTCGTTTTAACTTCCACTGCTACATTGATGTACTAAATAACATTGCGCAACAAATCTCGATTATTGAATCTTTAAAACAATTGAGCTAATAATTGAGAAATCAAATCGCTACTAATTTTCTAAAAGTTCTTTTAAATTAAAAGAAAAAAAAAACACATAAAATTTTAATTTCAAACATTGAATTCCATTATAAAATCTTATCATATCAGAGCGAAACCAACTGCAAGTATACGACAATAGCCAGCTCGAATGAATAGAAAGTGGGTTGTCTTGGAGGGTGTCGTGAAGCGTAAGGGGATCAGATCGAAACTAGCTGCGCCCGTCTGTTTGTCTCCTCCCCCGCGACCGCCGCATCCACACAATACACGAGCCTCGGCTTTTGAAATTCCAAGTCGTCGGCATTCAATTACCACGTCGTCGTCGCGCCTCAATGTGTTGTTCACGTACACCCACCCAAGAACAGACTCCCACGCATATGCACGTGGAAGAATCTGGCGTATGCGTCTCCGTCACTGTCCACTGACGCCCGGCGCTCGCGTTCCTCTACTCCTACGTATTGATTTCGTATCAGTTTCGCCTATAGATAGCAAAGCAAAACTTGTGTGTATCGCTATTAAATACCATCGGAGTCACTGTCCCACGAGATAGGCGTGCACACCACACTGGACTGGTGCGGTGAAAGAAAAAAAAAAAAAAGACGAGTCTCGGGGGACCCGCCGGCCGTGGAAGCACATACGTTGGGACGTAATTAAAGAACGTCAGGGAGAGTTTGCGTTTGGTATATTATCTGCTCCGGTTACTGGCCGCGTGAGATGAGGCATCTTTTTCTTTGACCCGCAGGAGATGAGCTCGTGGGAGGAGTTATGGGAAACGTCGGCTTGTCTCGTGGGGCTTATATTTATTACTGTAATTAAGATTAAGCGAAGAGTAGGAGATGGTTTTTGGGGGAAAAAAATGATTGTCACCGAAATTGTTTGGTCGTCAACGTGCGATTAAATGAACGTAAGGAAGAGAAATTATATGGAAGAGGATCTTGGCAAGTGAGGAAAATGAAAGGCAAATAAATATAGACATTTATTTAATATTGACCATTAATTTTAATGTTAGTTTTTGATTATGACATTTTTTCATATATAAACTCTTTTAAAACTAGTATGAGTTTACTCGATTTTTATATCAAGCTGATTTTTGGCTAACACTTTGGGTATTGTTAGATATGCGCGTTTGTACGATGGTCGATAGATTTTGTACCTTGGCATAGTGACAATTTATGCAGGGGCAATATCGCTTGCACTAAATTTATACGTGTCCATAATTAACATCTATTCTCTTGTACCGGATACAATATACAAACAATATGTACATTACAAGTGGTGCGAAAATACCACTCTCCTATTCGTTCTTATTACAATTTCGATTCTTATTGACATATTACACTTCTAGTGACAGACATAATCTTTTTTTTTGGTTTTTTTTTTTTTTTCTGTAAAAAATTCGTAAAAAATAAAATGGGTAGGACGAAGAAACAAAAAAGTATTGATGAATGCTAACGAAATTCCACCAATAATTCTTAGTAATAATATTAATAGTATAGGTATAAAAAGTGTAATTATAAATTTTCATGTAACATCTTGTTTATAAAAATTTAATAATAATACGGAGTACCGATGCTTATCCTAAAAATAGTGTCTCTACAAGAATAGCTAATAAATCAACAATAAGTCAACATTAAGTATCAAATTTTCTCTGCATTAACTTTTGAAAATTAATTGTAGAGGTGACAATAATTAAAACAATTCAACTGAGTGGATAATCGTCGTAGAGTGTTTGATAGTCATAGTCGTAACATAATATATACACAACTCAATTTAATAAGTCGAGTTCGGACTAAAGTATGACGATACAAAAAGTCTATTAACTTCTATGTGTTGATGAGCTGATACACGATGCATTTGTAACACAAGTGATAATGAAATAATTGGATGTAAAGGAAGTACACTCGCACATGCATCAAACGAGTACGCAATCACAATATTTAAATTTCTCGTGCAAACAGAAGAGCAGTGCAGCATTTCTAGATGGAGCGGGCGACGATGACAGTGATGTAAGTGATGATTCCTAGGAAAAGCGAGCCTGTCTCGCTTCTCGCACCACCACCAACTGCCGATTGCTTGGGTGGCTCCTGCGCGAGCCTTTGGTTGCTGGCGCTGAGGGTCACCGTTTTCTCGGTGGTGTAGTCGCTTCGGGACTCGCCTACGACAGGAACGCCAGGAAGAGTCGCTCGACAAGTGAGGGTCAGGGTGCCGGCGTTGAAGTGGTGACGCTCGAGCCGCAGGGACACCGAGAGTCGGGAGGAAGTCGCCGCTTCGCCGATCGAGTGGAGGGTCCGTTCGCTGCGCGTCGATTTTTCGCTTATCTGGAAAAAAATACGGGGTGCATGCTTTTTACGATTCAAATAGTGCTAGGAGATAAAAGGGTGAGAACAGTCTGCTAGAAATTTGAATTACTTTTGAAATTTTATTCGAATCATGTATTGACTTAGTTTGGCGTTTAGTTATTTTTTGGCAGGTACTTGGCAAGATAATTTGAAATACATGTTATGTTCGTTAAAACATTGTTGGTGTATTATAGTATACGCAAAAGTTCCATTACAATCTCGATTAATACAAATTTTAATTAAAAAAAAATATTTTTTTGAAATTTCTTTACAGCTCTGCATTCTCCCTCTCAAACTTTTAAAACAAATTACCCCAGTGTGTACCATTAGAATAGGAAACTACACAAATCAACGAGGGGCATTATGACAACTTTAATCTGCAGCTGCCCATCCCTTTTTTCAAACTTTTTTCACATTAAATCCGGTATTACTATACTATTCACCATAAGACTACGACACATGGTATAGAGAGAAATAGAGAATAGCAAGCATAAGTTGATGCTAACCTGACAGTGCAAACAGAAAATCAGAACCAACATTAGAAATGAACAAAAAATACGCTCAATAATATAATAGCGTGTTCTTATGAAGTATATTTTCCTCGTTTCTTTTCGATACATCCACAGTCAAAATTATAGACGAGAACGTACCTCCGCCAAATGTGCGGACACCACGGGGTGCTGCCGCTGTCCATCGCCCTAATTGGCTGCCGAAATTATTGCCGCGACTCACGCACTCACTTACGCGTCCGCGTCGGCTTTGCGGCCAAAATTACAACGAAAACGACTCTACGTGTATATATTGCTACTCTGTGGGTATAGCCGATCCTTTGGGTGGGGTGTGATGTCGGAAGCGATTGGGGTTTGCGGTAAAAAGTTGGGGTGGATTAAAGGGGTCGATGAAAAAGTGCGGGGGTGCGTGTCCTGGTGTAGTTGGGACATAACGTCGAGTTCGCTGAAAGATATTGGATACTGGACGTAGTGTGTTTTACTTGATTATAGTGATCGTCTACAAACTCTCATCCTCAACTTTTTTCTCTTTTATGCATGTAACTCTGGTCGACATTTATTGCACGCGATGAGAAGTGATTTTACTTAGGATAGGGTTTAGTAATCACTCGGTCCTTTTTCAACCAGACATTGAGCAAATCGTTTGTGCTTCGTCATTACATTGTACATCGTGCACCTGTACTCATGAGGTGTACGTGTTACCTTGCGCCCGTTGATGTAGAAGACGAGATCCGCCGGAGGCAGACTCGGGGCCGCGAGGCAGGAAGCGTCGAGCTGCTCCCCCACGTTGTAGTTGGGGGCGAGGCCGTCGATGACGGGGCTGCTCTTCGGCAAAATGGCCGTGGTGACGTTCGCGACCGCGTAGTCCGAGAAAAAGGGCTCCTCCGTGGCCACCTCGCACAGGTACGTGCCCTCGTAGGCTCGTTTGTCTGCCAACAGAAAAACACACGTGTGCTTACCGCTATCAGCGAGTCAATGAAAAAAAAAAAAAGTGTCATCAACTGGCAAAGCCAAAAAAATGGCCCAGCAAATGGAGGGAAAAAAAGGCACGTACTTTTGCGAAAGTCCCCGTTGCCGAGGAGCACGAGCTGCCGGCTGTTGCTCATCTCGGGACTGACCCTGACGTCGGGCTCGTCGGGCTGCTCGAAAAACTGGCCCCTCAAGTGGTCGAGGCTGGGCGAGTACTTGAACAACGCGTTGTCGTTCCTGTACCAGCTTATCGAGTACAGCTGCTGCCCGTGAAGGTCGTACTCGCAGCTCAACGTGACCTTTTCCGCCCTTGGGTCCACTATGGCCGGCGCAACAAGTCTCCGCACTAGCCGCTTGCCCCCGGTGATGCTGCCGTGGCCTGCAAGCACAGGAAACATTTTTTTCTTATTTAAATCCATCTTGGTGAAAATTGAAGTCAATCTAGTTGAACATGTAATCAGATTTCACATTCAATCCATGAATCCATTTTACCATTGCTGTAATGTGTGATTTACTTCTCGTAGAAATTAATTTTTACCACTAATATTCTTATATCTACCACGTAGCTGTAACTTTACTAGAGAATCCACTCACGTAACAAATTTAATTAATACTTTCTGAAAAACAAAGGTAAAAGTAGTCATGTACATTTTTTCCATTACCTCTTGCGATTAATTTCCTTTTTCTACTTCACAATAGCCGCAAGATCGATTGTTTGATCGAAGTTTATCGAGTCACCCGATATTTTTTCCTCGCAGCGCCGAAACCTGATAAGTGAATTGAATTTTTCCCCCTCTAAATACAAACATCAGTGTTAGGAACGAGATTGAGGCTACCGAAATTGGAAACAAAGAGTTTTTTTCGCGGTGCATTGCCCGAAGGTGCAATCAAACACACTATCGTTAATCTTTATTTTTATTTGGATAAAAAAAAAAATTGATAGTTAATAATTACGTTATTGGTTTGGAAAAAAATTTGGTTTGCTACTCTTTGTTATTTTAATTTGGAATTAGAAAAATTTTTAGTCATGTTACTTTTGTTATACTATTGGTTATTTTCAATTAAAAAAAATTTCCAATTTCGCTCTCTTGGGTTGGAAAAAAGTTACGAGTACTTATTCGCCCGAAAAGCAATCAAAAGCGCTCGAGACGAACTTTAGTTTGAGCTTTGGTGGAGTAAAAAATTTTAATCAAGTCGTAAGTCGGAAGTTACTGATGATTTAAACTAAAGTTTGGAGAGCAAAAATTTTATCGCCTGATAAGTGCACTATTACTTTTGAACTCCCCTTGCCTAGAACGAGCTTTAAACTAAAAAACCTTGAGTTAGTCAAAAGTTGTGGATAATTTCAGTTTGTTTGCAAGTTTGAAAACGAGTAAAAATTTACTACTTTACTCGATAATTGAAACCAAACAGCCACTCGTGGTACTTAGTAACAACAAATAACGATACATTTTCCAGGTTAAAGCCATTAGAAGCAATTGAGGTAAAAACAATACTTGTACCGATATATAGTCACTTTGTGACACAAATTCGCGTTTGTGTGTCTGCTGCGACAGTTGGAATTATTTATTTATTTCACCGCGTGGGTGGCAATTGTTGATTGTTTAGCCCCAACTGTTGATTGGAAATACTCGATTAACTAACAGCAGTGCCTATGCATAATGTAATGGCAACAAAAATGCACCTGTTTTATTATATAATCATCAGGTGGAAACGTAAACTCCAGAATCTCCCAATACAAATACATAAACGAGGAGTATTTATTGGATTTCCCCCTCCTCCTTTGCACCAATAAGTACCAGGGCTGTGTTTCAATACATGCACCACTTGACTATTGCTTCGACAAATAAATGCAGAGGCTTCCACGTATTTACGTGTAGTTACTTTGTTACTTATGTTAGTGGCGTGGGATGGGGTTGGAAGGGCAAATTGCAGTAATGGCCGTGACTTTACATGACTCGTCCGATCCTCGAATTTTGCATCGTAATCGTCTATTGTGTGTTTGTATCATTCATGTACATCCAATACGTTCACTCGCGGCAAATGGGGCTTAGGATTAATTTTTTTTTTTTTTTTTCCAAAGCAGGGTTGGAGCGCGTCATATGATTCACTGCGGGAAATCACCCGGTGGGGGCTTCCAGATAATCTAATCTGACCTTATCAAGCACTACATGTGTCGGGGTACGAACCGAGGAAATCTCTTTCTCACTTGCATTTCTTGCAAGTGAATAAAGGGAGAAATCTTTTTCAATCGGATCTTGAAATGCAAGTTCGATTTTCTATTATTTCCAAAAGATGTGCTCATCACTAATTTTTTTTTTTTTTTTTTTTTTTTTACTTTAAGGGATTTCAACCCTTTGCGCCAGCACAATTCCATGCGGGGTAAAAAAAATGTTTTAAAATGAATATGTAAATAATATAATATAGATGTTTCTCGTTTGTAAAAAAAACTAAACATCATAATAAATTTAATAAATAATTAAAATAATAATCTTAATATATATCGAACATATTTTAAAATGTGCCAATAATTCGATCGTATCTGACTTTATTTTCGTAGTAGAAGCAACAGCGGCTCAGTGTAGGGACCGGCCCATTCAGTGTAACGCACAGTGGCGGTGGCTTGCGTGATTTGTTATAGGTTCGCTCCTCCCCTCCATATTATTTCTCTCTTAACAGTCTTAATTCAGGCAGATGCGAAAATATACGAGAGAAAGGGAGACAAGAAATGGAGGGAAAAAATAAGTCGAATAAAAGTATATATGTATATATCTGCCTCTCTCTGGACGAAGAAATGAGATTTGATGAAACAATCATGCGAAGCCACGTGTATACGCCTCACAGGGTCCAATTGGTACCAATTGTCCCACATTCGCTTGATGGCTACCACGACACATATGTATGTCAAATGAAACGCGTAGAAATGAGCTCATGCGGCTTCGCATGCTTGATGTCGCATTTTTATGTGTGTCCGGTTGTCGTGCAATTCGAGTGCAATTTGCTCCCCCTCCGTCTTTGCGAGGAATCCCAAAGGACCGTCTGATTGCTATCACCATCAGCGCCATTTTCACGCAAATTGTACTAATCTGAAGAAGAAAAAGCATACAGTGGCGTCGGGCAAAAAGAGACACCCTTTATTTGACATCTTGACTCCGCAGCTGCTTCGTTTGACCAATTGCATCAATTTGTGCGAAGAAGATGAGACAAAACTTCGCTTTCGAGCAGAAATTGCGAGGCTCCGCGGGAGGAGAGTACATTACGTACCACCAATCAGCGAAACAAAGAGTCTGTTAAATGATATGGCAAGAAAGAGTCTCTTTGAAATAATATTCTGGAAAGAGCTGTTTTGAATTTTGAAAAAAAAAAAAGATTTAAAATATTTCGGTGGGTATGACAAAAGTAGTAGTAAATCGTAAAAAAAATTTAATAGTTGAGTTGTTTACCCTTTCTCTCAAAGATTGGACTTGATCCCTATTTACTTGCAAAGAAGAGTCGACCTTGTTTATGTCGCAGAGCCCAAGTGACCCTCCATTTATTTCGTAAATCTTAATTTCCTCCTTTTTTTCCTCAAGCAAAAATATCACTACTCGGATGTTTGCACATCTAGCTGGTTTTTTAAAGCCAACTACCGTCACGAATAATAGAATCACAAAGAGAGACGTGATGGGGGAGACGGAGTACAAGAACCTAGCGTCGAAATTCTCTGAAAATATCCCTCAAGTAAATTTGGCAGTTATCGTCCGAGCAAATAAATGGGGTGATTCTTACTAGCCAAATTAAAGTAATAATTGAACCGTCTAATGCGACTTTGTCACGCTACTTGATACATCTTTTCTGAATCACAATATTCCCCGACAGTAGCTGCGCGACCGCGTGACGCATCATGCGTTAATAAAGAGAGCAGATGATTTGAATTGGGATCAATTAGCCTTGAGAGTGGTTGGTCATTATTTCCATGATTGATCGTTCTTTGGAACGAATTTAATGCTTTTATTTTAGCTGGAGAAAACTTTTCTCAACACATTTATCTAGTCAACCTTTCTTGACAAACGTTTGACTATCTTTTTTCTGAAAGAATCAACTTCTCTTGTAGTTTTTAGAAAAATTTTATTTTCGTTTTCGAAAACTTGCTAAATTCATGGGCAGCGTAGTTGAGCGACGAACAGAAAGGCACGACTTTACTCGACGGAGCCGAACGGATTTCTCTGCCCAGCAGTTTATCCTCGACGGACCGGTTGTCTCGATCAGTCGTGCTATATAATGCCAATTATCTCCTCAAGACTATCCATTGTCATCCTCCCCAGCCCCGTAGACTATGGGCACCCCAACGGCAGCTCTCCCCCTTGGGTCTTATCACAATATGGCCCCACCAGTACCACACCAGCCACTGCAACACAGCATAAGTAGAAGCAGACGAGCTGTTACAGCTACAAAGTCGATAGGCAGCTCCGAGGCATATTAATTAATCTGCTGGTTATTGAAGTAATTGCCAGCCTAATTGGCCCGTGCTTTTTCTTCCTTTCCCTTCCTGTACGCGCTTTTTACGAACGTCAAGAGACAGTTTGAGGAGAGACAAAGGCAAGGGGTTGATGGTCCCTCTGTTACCCCAGTCGCGTCTGCTTTCCTCCATCTATGCGTACCATCGGGGCAAAGGGACGAGCCGAGGGAGGAGAGGAGGATGTGAAAGCAAGAGTCACAAGGTGGACCACCACTTAATTTATTGATGTGCCGGTCGGGGCGAAAGAGGAAGTGGAAAAAAAGGATGTGTGGCAGGGGCATTGTGGTGCAGCGAACAACTGCTGCTTAAACGGGAGACAAAGGCTGTTCCGCGGCTATTTGATGCCTGAAAGTCGGGGATTATTTAAAAGTGGGAGGGGAAAGGGACTGGGGATGTAATGAAGAGTCACGTGTGCGCGGGATGGATCCCATTGTGTTCCACTGTTTCTCGCTCTTGTCCATGACACGTCAAACAATAAAATTAATATAATAAACTCCACTTGCTTACCATAGATTGATTGGACGCCAGTACCGTTTTAATGTCACTCGCCAAAGCTTTGTTTTCTCTTTCGCTGGTCCTCTCTAAACTGGACATATTTTATTCATCGCAGCCAAAGCGAGGACGGAAAATTAAAGGATAAAGACCAGGAATCCTTTATAAATGTACACTAATGGAGGGTGGAGAAAACAGAGGCCCAGCGGCAATTAAATGAATATAGATATTCCCATGATTTATTCAGTAGCCACGACTGCGACGTACATATAAGGAAGGACGAAGAGAAGAAGAGCCATCGATCGCCAGATCACGAGAGTAAGAGAAAGCAAGAAGTGTTGGTTGAGATTGATTGACACCAGAAATTCCATCGGTTACTAGAGGAAAAT